TTTTCGGGAACTGAACACTCCCTTTGTCGCCACCAATTTCCTATTGCACAATAAATATTTCATTATAGTAATTAGCTACGTATAGATATGATGCTGTCCAAATAACAGTCATAGAATAATAGGAGCTCAATCAACAAGCATTCTACTTTTAAAAAGCCGACTTATATGGTGTGATGTGGAAGTCTAGGCATCCTGTCAACCGTTAGACTGGTTCATTGTGGTTAGTAGCAAGATGGTAACCAATATATGTCTATAATCTTTATTTGCTACTGGTCAGATGGATATCTCAGCTTCATATAGATTTTTGATTCATACGGAACTACAAATTCTGTAGTTGTGCAGTTGTAGGCCTGAATTTCTTAACTTACGATGCAACGTATTCACAGCCTCCAAGGACCCGTTATACACTTTGAAAAATCTTAATTTTTCAAAAAGCAGTAGGAGAGTAGCAAAATTTGAGCATCGTGGTAGATTGTAATTTCATATTAGATTTGCTGTTTTTTAATATTTAGCGCACAGTGGTACAGTATTATTTACTTGATGAGGTTTCGAGCATAAATTATCTCTCATAATCATATCAGTGTGATCACACCACTTTCAACATCTGATTTTTATAATCCTGTCACCTCATATTCTTTGTTTTTATTGGTGGTAAAATTTTCCATATCTCTGGTGTAGGTGTTGCGTCATTCCTATTACATGTGTTGGTTGGGTGTTGACTCGATGAATAAAGAATCACTAATCAATTTCTCTTTCCACCTAACTATATTGAAGTGAAGTACAGTGGTTTTATCCCACCCTATTGTATGGTTGTGTTTTAATGCATGCATTACAATAGACGAGTGTTTCCTCATATTATTGATCCTATTGGGGTCTGTCACTTTATATTTGACTAAATTCCTTTATTCCGCTAATCTGACTGACCCTGACCAGCTAGTTTGACCTTACAGTCATTGCATGGAATTTGATAGATTAGATTATTTCACTTAACTGGATCTATCGGGTCCTTAAGCGGACAAAGCTTATCTCTACTCTTATATTATCTCTGAATGAGTTTGTAGGTTTAAATGAAACCCTGATTCCAGCCTTATTGAGAATCCTACGTGAAGTTTTTGATGTTCCTTCCTTATATGGTAATACAATAGAGGCTTTGAACGTATTTCTACTCGTTTTGTCGCTATTATTCGTATTACTGTGTGTTTCGTATGTGTGTTTCTTGTGTTCGTATGAATTTCTTAATAAATGGTAGACTATAATTATTAACGTTTCTTTGATGTTTCACTTCCTTGTTTAAGTCATTACACTGGCTAGTGAGATTTTTAGTTCTATCATTTAGACATTTGACTAAACCCGCCTTAAGTGACATTGGATGAGATGATGTAAAGTCTAGATACCTGTTAGAATGTATTGGTTTATTGTAGACGGTATTATCCAAACCATCATATGTCCTTCGTTTTATTCTGCAATCAATATAGGTAATTCTCCTTGTTCATTTTCTACCTCGACTACTACTGAGTTTATCTATTTAGGAAAATTGTCGATATGTCCCGACTTCAACACAGTAAATGTGTCATCTGCATATCGAGTCAACACCCTAACCAACACATGTAATAAGAATGACGCAACACCTACACCAGAGACATGGAAAATTTTACCACCAATAAAAACAAAGAATACGAGGTGACAGGATTATAAAAATCAGATGTTGAAAGTGGTGTGATCACACTGATATGATTATGAGAGATAATTTATGCTCAAAACCCATCAAGTAAATAATACTGTACCACTGTGCGCTAAATATAAAAAACAGCAAATCTAATATGGAATTACAATCCACCACATTCTCCAAGTTTTACACACACCAATTCTCTTACTACTTCCATTTTATTCTGTTTATTAAAAGTATCACAGTGTATACAGAATCATTTGCTGGAAAACGTTTCGGATATAATTTATTGTCCATAATCATATCATGTAACTCCACAACTTTGAGACAGAGTTTACATATTCCTAATTTCCTCTCCTTCTTTGTGACAAGGGTAGCAGAATTTTCCACATATCTGGGATGATAGCACAGTCATTTTTATTGCATATATTTGGTGTTGACTCGATAAACAAAGATTCGGTTATCAATTTCTCCCTCCCCCCCCCACCAACTAAGTTTTGAATACTATCTCTCTGTCCCCCCGACTGTGTATGATTGCGTGCAGAGCTATAGCCGAGCTTTTCCGCAAATCGCTTATCTTATTAGGATCTACTAATCTTGATTTAGCTTGATTAGTTTTTGTGTTCTGTTATTCTAATCGAACTTGAACGGCTACTTTGACCTCACGATCATTGCAAGGGATTCGATGAACCAAATTACCTTGCCTAACTGCATCAATAGGATCTTTTAACTTACAAAGCTTGTTTTTAAGCAAGTTTGTTGGTTTAAATGCCATTTTAATCCTAGACTTGTTGAGAATTTTTCGTAATGATCCTGAGGTGCCTTCCTTATTTGGTAATACAGCAGCGGCTTTGAATTCTGTCTCGACCCTGTCACTATTAGTAGTAGAATTATTATTAATAACACCTGTGTTACTACTACTGCTAATACTTTTCTCTCGATTTCTTATGAATTTATTCATAAATTTGGGTGGGCAATTATTGAGACACAAGGTATTCCTGGTGTTTAATTTCTTGTCGTAGATTTTCAAGCCTATTAGTAAGCATTTTTTGTCCAATCACTTAGGTATTTAACTAAGCCTACTTTAAATGAGATGACTTGAAGTCTAAGTAGCGATTCGAATGCGAAAGTTTTGTCCATAAGAAACGGTAAGATAAGTTGTCGGATTATATCAAGTACCATATTTCTATTCTGTAAATATCTGAAATTTGCTGTGAGATCGCCTAATTGACTTTTAAGCTCGACTTTTTTGTTGGTATCAATTCCCTTTTAAGGGACTTGTTACGGTTCTTAAGCAACTTATATTCCAATCAGTTGATAATTTTTCTTTAGCTAAGCTTGTAATTTCAGTACTTCATCTAATGCTGGAATGCTGACATGTACATAACAGCATCAGACTCTTTTATGACTTGTAATACTAAGAAAGCATATAATTCCATGAAGTGCTCCCTAGTCGAACTAATCCTGTAGTATAAATTCTTATGAAGACTTTTCATTTGAACAGAAAACAACTGTTGGTCATCCATTAGGGTTGCTCATTAACAACATTCCCTTCTAAGTTTATCAATGGCTTATTGATGGGGAGTGGGACCCTGTACACCCCGAACTTCTCAAGGATTGATTACCTGCCTCAACAGTCTGATCGATCGCTGACTACTCAGATGACACGATTCTACTAAATGAACCCATTGATAAGATGTAGAGTCTGCAGAACCCACTAGATGAAGTCCTTGGGATTCACGTCATATATTTCACACCTGTCAAATGTAAGATGATACATTGTATAAAACACCACTTTTTGAGAATGGGGAATAAAGTGATTGAACGTGTTACGCCAGTTGACTTATTTGGGAAGTTGCACCAGCCATATGACAGTAGTTACTGGAAAAATCTCTGTGTAGGCGTGAAATTCCTGTTTGGCATTTGCTGATATACAGTAGCCATGTTACTGGTGAGACATACGATTCCTTATCGAAAAGAAACTGTATTCGATGGAATTCCTTGTTATTCTGTTGTACATCTATCACATTTGCTTTCTAAAGGAAGACAAAATGACAAGCTTGAAGGTTTTTAAATATTGGAACCTTCAAAGCATTGTTTGATTATTGTGGAACTACAGGTTGAGTAAGAATTAGGTAAGATGTAGATTCAGTCGAAGTCGGGAATATGCATTAACTGAGGTGGATGGGATATGTGCTATGCATGTCTAGCCATCGCTTACCTTGATTTACAATGCTACCTGAAGTTCGACTAAGTTGGAAGAAAGCTGAGGTGGTCATACCAAGGAATTCATAGTTTTAGGTCTATGCAAGCTACATAGCCAGCGTTCTTCAGACGGTATAAGTTTATGACTGAAAATCCTCTGTGGCACCGCTTAAAACTAACGTACGTATTCTCTATCTCCGTCAAAGCTTCAAAGACCACAGCACTTCATAGGTGTTTGTTTTCTCTTTCCAATTATTTTAAAGTTTCTACTTTTGCTGATTCTCTTGTCATGTAAGGTTAGAAAGCATAGCAACTCGAATCGTCAAACCTTTTTGCAATATAAGTGTGAGGCGATCTCTAACTACCCTATGTTACTGTTGAGATGGCGAGTTAGTAAAACCAAACAACTTTCATAGAACCAGTAGCTCTGAATGAAGCAATATAGCTGAATGGGTTTCCTACTTTCAAAACCACTCACTTAAAACCGAATATCAGAAGAACTAGTCGATCAATCAGATTCAAAGTAGACTTGTTCTTAGAATTGTATAGACACTCATGAGGTTTTTATCTTCAGTGAAATGGCAGTGAATATAACGATACTTCCTTATCATCAACGTTAGCGGACGTCTACCAAGATACAGGCGTATAGTTAATTACGTAGTTTAGTTTATCACAGCCTGTTTGAATACATCTAGTCGAACTATCACAAAGTAAAAGCGTAAAAAATGAATTCTATTGTTGCGAAAATATTCATAGACGTACAGTGAGGCTGGAAGTATTTTCCCTTAGGTCGAAGGTGAGTAAGATTACTTAAAACGGATCAAAAAACTCTTAAATGTGATAATTTCTTGGTGCTTTGAGGTTTGTTCTTGAATTTTTTATCATCAGGCTAGGTGACCGTCAGCATTTACTTCATAAGAAAGTTAATATTAACAGGGTTGTCTATCCTCACACCCCGGAGAACACCAAACAATCATCATTCTCATCTTGAGCTACAAACCTATACTATCTTAAAACAAGTGTATATCTACATATTTTTCAGATATGCAATATACGATCTACACCTCTTATAGATAATTAGAATTGAAAAGTGTGATAAATTCTAATAAAATAAACTTTCTGTTTACAGGTCGGTGTGATGGCCAAAGCTCCAGCGGCCTATCTATTCCATCCATCCAACAAGGAAGCCAAGCTGAAAGCTTACAATGTGATAATCCATATAATACCACTGGATTTTCATTTTCTCCAAATCAGTATCGTTATCAGTCAGTTCATAATAATAATCAATACAACACACAGTCATCAGTATCTTCCAGCAGTCGGTTACTTAATGAACATATATTATCTAACAATAATTCAGCTAGTGAATATTCTCATTCAAACTCAAAGTATTTAGAACATAATCCCGGTGGTACGAGCATACGTGATAATAATTACTCCCTTTATCCATCTCATCTTCCTCAAACGACACCATATGGTGTGCATAACGCATTATCTAGGTCTATGGAAGAAGCTCAACTGAACACTACAAGTCAACTTGTTCACTCCATTCATGGAGTGTCTGGTTTAGCTGCGGCTGAAGCTGCAGCAGCAGCCGCTTATGCATACCGTCAGTATCATCAACAACAAACTCAAGCTACAAATCGTCAAAATTTAATTCCTCAACCACCAAGTGCACATACTCATTATCAAAATTTACTAAATCAAAGCAATCGCTCCTATTATACAGGACAAATAGAAGAAAATTCGTCTCAGAGAGATTTAACTCTATACACCGCACACTCAGAAAGACGGGATCCAAAAGCTGCATATCTCGCTGAGACTTATCGAAATGCTCAAGTTGCACCAGGTCGATTTTTCTTTGATTTCATCAAGCACGATGCTCATTCAAACAGAAATAAATGGATACCAACTCAGTTGTGTTTTTTAAATCCCTTGAAGTTATTTCTTCACTTTATTATGTAAGCCCACAGCATACTGTGAAACATAACTTTTATAGATTTATTGTTCCTATACTTCTACCATACTACTGTTAATAGAAATCATTACCGTTAAGATTTTATGCAGAAGATCCCCATAGCTGATAATTAAGTTGGTTTAAACACTACCTCACTTTATTCCTATTCTTGTTAATGATTGAATCTTCCTGCTTTCATTCACACTTCTGATGAATTTCAGTGTTGAGCAAAAATGCATGAAAGATCAAGTTAGCGGCTATCTTTAGTTTTATTATTAATTATGAAATGGAAGTGAAAAAAAGAAGAAAATCCGTTTTTCTATTGCTCATGTTTATTAACTTACTACTTACATTGTATTGTGTATGTCTGAGAAATTGCTTCTATTGCCTTTCTTTTCCAATGTCTTTTTAAAAAAAAACATTTACGACTTTTAATCAACAGATAATGATAGGCCAACTGAATAATCGCAAACGCATTTACGTGCAATATACAACCAATTACTCATATATTACTACTAATTGTTATTGTTTCACTGTACTTTACTTCTGACTACAATTACTACCGTTCTTTTTTCTCTTTATACGTGAAACGTTAACACTTATTCTTTTTATCATCAGAAAAATATACACAATCTCAGTTACATGAACGACTGACTGAATAGTGATATCAGTAAACATTACCGTTATGCAACGCTGTACAGAATATTCTTGTTCGTTTAGTTCAGTCGTTTCGTCGTACACATTTTTCGTTGTCCCATTGTAATAATAACGTTTACTGTGCTCCTTTAGCTAACTTTGATGGGGTTCGAGTGCATAACACTTTACTTCATGCATACAAAGTATACAACAAATAACTGAAGTGTATATAAACGAAGTGATATAATTTTAGCTATATTATAAGTGTATTACCAATTTTATCACACAACCACTTTTTTACGCATGGACATATCAGAAAGGTCAGTCACACAACACTTCTTTTTAATGAAAACGATATGTTTAGTGCATTAAATAGCAATGATAATAAACTAGACTATTAAATGACTTACTTTTAAGCTGACTCCCTTTTTAAACTCTAGGGCATATAAATATAAAATACCAACTACTCTCAGTATTTTACCTTTACTATATTTTTCGTGTACGTGTCTACCCAGTATAGCATCACAATCAATAATATCATCATTGTTGGTTACATGGTGTATATTAGGATGAGTAATTTTTATCACAACTGTTATATTACACTGATTTTTAATCAATTATTACAAACTATGTAAAAAGTCCTTTTCAACATTCTGAACCAATTATAATCATTAATATTGTCCAAACTGTTATTACTTGTCACCGCCACCATTTCTGGTGTCTCTTACCACTTGTCTTTTCTATGTACTTGGAAATAGACGTACGCACCTCTGCAAATGTTTTACATCGATTCCCAACGAAAAATGCTCCTACTGAGTACTTTACCCTCTAACGAATATGCATAAACCCTTATATACATATGCCTATATGTTTTTTTTCTGTGTACCTTTTTCCCTTTTTCAAAAATGATACTCTTATTCTGTTTTTAAAAAATTTGTTTCACCTTTTCTTAATTTATCGAAATATTGTTTAAAAAGGTTATGTCGATGATAGAAAAGAAGAAACAAGGTATTTCTACATAACTATATATACATATATTATATACATACAATAAACACCTGAATACTTATATACATGTGTATTTATCCCGTTTATTTTCCGTTGAAAAGGTATCCTAAGTAGTAGGGAATCGCTTTTCGCAACAACTTGATCCCTGCTCTTCATATTCTTTACGTGTAACCAAGAAGTGATTGAATGAATCTGGATTCTGACACAGCAGGACACCACCTTCCCAAGGATAGGTTTGAGGACTTTCGTATTTTATTGAACAAAACAAACATAATAGTGTTTTTAGAATATTGCTGTTGAGATTTAATGGTGAAAGTATGCATAAAAGGTATATATATATATATATATATATATATATATATATATATATATATATATATATATATATATATATATATATATATATATATATATATGATAATCTTAAGACCGGATAAATTTTTAAGCAGCCATTTCCATTAACACCAATCTAATGGAAAAATACTGCACTGTTTACACTCTGAATATGGATGTCAGTTGGTACTTGTTTACAAAACTTTTTATTAAAAAAAGAAGTTAAAGTACCCAGATACAACCGCTAATTTAAGCGATACATGTTACTGATGTACTCAGTGTAACAGCAAATAAAAACACATTTTTAAGCGCATCTTTTTTTGAGCAGTTAATGTATCTGAAAAACTGAGTGCCTTTAATGGTCACCCTGAAATGATCAAACAGGTTTCGGTATTTCGGTTAGGAAGGTAGTTTTTTGTCAGTAAAGTAACTGGTTATCTCAGCGGTTGGTAATATGACCTTTAAAATCACCAGGGAAATGTGTATAATGTGCTTCATCGATAACTCATTAAGAAATGACTGCCTACTGTACTGAGCTACGCTTTCAGTGAAAATCTCAGTATGACAGTGGCGTTTCGCACCTATCAAACATAGGATGATGCTACAGCATTGGAAGTGAATTGATTGTGTTGACCATTTCAATTACTTGGGAAGGGTTAGTTCTTAATGAAATCTCAGCGCGAATACAAAAAGCTCGTTTGACACTCGTAAACTTACGTCATTACTGACATCGGTGAGATATCCCACAACAGGAACGAGTATACTGCGTTGATGCTCATTGCGTCCTATTATGTAGCGGAAACACGGTAGTTGAAATGCAAAGATAGTAAAAGACTACTGATCTTTTATCACGGATTACTCGCGTATGGTTATGCGTAAGGTACTGGAGAAGTAAATCAATCAAACTGCGAACCTTCACAAACTTAGATGGTTTGGACATGTGTTGCACATGCTGAGCCGGTGCTTTTCTTGATATACAATGTTAGCCAAAGTTGAATTGGGTTGGAAAGAGACTATGAGTGATCAGACCACAGCGTGATACCATTTCATGAAGTCGTTTACTGTTGATCTGAGGCGTATAGAGAAGTCTGAACTGTCTGGCTGGAGTGATCGCGACGATAAAAATCAATGTTTGGAAAATCTTGGTGATATGGCTGAAAATCGGTTACAGTGGCACAGATGCACACACTCTTGGTCATCTTGGAGTATTTTCGTTAAGCTTTATCTATTGTCTAAACTCATATGCTCTTGTTTACCTTAATATAACTTGATCTACACACTCATTTGTATGATGCAGTGAAGTGTAGCGTTTCTGTGCCAAAGTCTGCAGTGATTTGTCTGTCTATCTGAACCCTTTAACTTAGCAAAAGTGAGAAAAACGCAGTCACAAATTCGCTTGCGTATATATGGTTGGAAGAAAAAATCTGAATAGTTTTTTATTCGGTATGGATAACCGACAACACTAATGAAACAAACAACTTTTGTTGGATACTATTATTTTGTTCAAATTGGAAATTGTTGCATGAAACAGGATTCAATTACGAAATCCTAGTGTGCTTTACTATGGAAATCAGTGTTTTACTGAAAACATTGTAAGTTCGCATTAGTAACGTGAATAACTTTGTCACAATAGGATTACAGTCCATGGCGTAAAGTTTGAATTTCTGTCAGAAATTGTTTTGTATTTTATCTGTTTGATTCTCAACCAAAACTATGAACCTTGCCAACAACCCAAACGAACGTGTGGCGCTTGAAATCAAAGCGAGTAGCTAACCGAAAAAAGGTATACGAATAATTCACACGTTTTGGGTCGAATCAGCGTGGTAACACCGCTAAGGAAAATGACTTCGAGAGAATAAACGATCGATTCAGCTTGTGAGCGTCGATTACGCATGATAGATGTATCAAAAAGCAGAGATGAATTAATGGAAAGATGCTATGTTATGTTTTGAAGTAAGCCTTTAAGAAGATAGGAGGGTTATTAGGCATGATCAACGTGAAATAATATCTATGGGCTTGGATATGTATGTCATTGGTGAAGCTGTGGCTCAGCGGTTTGGGGAGATGACTATCAACCAATGAGTCACAGGTCCGAATCCCGCCTCACCTACCGAGGTTTAGGCAGCCAGGTAGTATTACTAGCTCTCACACAATAGGTGTGACTCATTCCCTATTGCACCGATGTGCGCATGATGGTTGACTGCGTTTCGATCTATTTCGTTTGGAATATGCCGCTGTGTTTGAACATGTAGCTGGCTAACCGTGGATCCTTATACACTACGTAATCACATCAAATCTGTATTCTAATGTTATGAATGTATGGGATTTAAATAATGCAGTGAAATACATTTCATATTTCCCAGGCAAAATTTTATCATTATCGCACAACCCTACATAATAGCTGAGTACCAACACTATAGCATACCCTAACAGTTAATGATAGCAGAATACGTTTCTATCCTGTCTAGAAACGTTAAATTCTAGTTACTAGAAAATATATATTTCACAAACGACAATCAATCTATCAGTTTCATCAACTTCACGTCAGTGATAATGACAGTACAAGATTGAATCATATGATTGTAGTAAATATCCTACTGTCTCTTGCCCCTATCACCACTGCTCTCTAGCAGTATGAACGATGTCACGTCCGACTTCCTACTTTTACTACACACTGTCATGATATTAGGTGGGAAGTGGTCTAATTCCTATGGAAATAATTGACAGGAAGAGTAAAATCACAGAATTTATGCCTACGACATTTCCAAACCAAACCTAGTAGTGGTTTCAGTACCGTGCAAAAGAAGAAATTACCGATTACCGGTGGTTGATTCGATATATTTATCGTTCATACCACTAAATCCCGATTAACTTCTTTCACAATCATTATTGAAATAGACAATTCAAGGAGTGAAGAAATGCATATTTAAAAATGGTGGAGAATACTTGTAGCTCAGGTGGATGTTCGTGAGTTGCGTTCTATGAACTGGGTGGTTTAATCGTGAAATTTTCAGTCTTTCTGGATAGCACATGAAAGGAATTCCAAAGCGTTCACCAACACCTGGATTAATTGTAGAAGCAGTAATGCAGAGACTGAAAGCACTCTGACATGAGTAGTTCTAGGCCACTACTCACACCGACAAACAGTCCTCAGTACCAAGATCAAAGTAGTCTAAGCACCCTATGGCCAATCTGCTCGTTTGTGGCCGAGCTCATCAATGGTGCATCCAAATCGATTTAGCTCAGAGAGCTGAATTCCGGTTGTCCGTTTTACATGAACATCAGCTGGTTATTATGCGTCACTAACTTTTTTTGCTCATGTCAGTACACGTATACAACTATGGGCATGAATCCAACTGTGATAATATAGAAATCCTGGAAAGAAGAAACAGAATTTCTAGAAGCTCTGCACTGAGACCATTTAGCAGTCAACAGATGTATAGACATAGACCCAATCTATCAACCAATAAGAAGAGTGACAAACATCTGTAGGGTCAGAATTCAAACAGGGAAACAGCCAACAGGAAAATCTATGCGGTTAGTCATACAACAAATAAAGGGAACTATCAATGAAAACCACTTTGTCAGAGTGATCTACTGAATCACTCACAAAGAAATACTTATAGTTTGTCAAGATGGGGTTTGTCAACAAAGACGATGCATGGGAGGTCCGACTGCTTATCCGTAAATCGGTTCCCACCGAACACGCTATTTTAACTTCATTCCGAACGAACGTATTCACAAATATTCGCTGAACAACCTAACTAGTACAATATACATTACCAATATTTGAAGCTCACAAGCGACTTTTTTGTAAATCGTAAGTTCTGACGACTTAGACTTCGGTTCCACCTACTGATAAGTTGAAGTGTTTTGTTTTCATCTGAAACCTCCACCTTTTGTAAATGAGTCTGACACCCGCATACAGCTTTTAAGCGGAGTGAAACAGGACTCATTAGTGGCCTTTAGAAATATTACTACAGAATATCAGTGGCTGACTAATCTGAAACACAATACAGCAAATCACCCATCTAGTCACGTAAATCCATTCTGTTTCGATGTCAAAGTTTTTTTCCACCTAGTTACGTCAAATTTCCAATAGGAAAACTCCATTAGTCACATTTTGGTACTGCAGTCAGCGATACTGCAACTGATTGTATTAGTTGCAAATACCTGTTTCTCAATGATATAACCATATAGGCCAAGGAGATGGATTTTGCCCCAAAAATAATCATCGAAAGAAGTTAATGATAAAATGGAAGAAGCTTTTGCGTTTTAAGTCAACATTCACATCGAATAGCCTGTTTACAAAAATCAATAATATTAACAGTGACTCCTAAAGAACATTTGCCTTTATGTTGACTCATGAAAGTACTGTGAGTGATGACGGTTTAGTGTTCTTTGAGCTTCGATAAGTTTTCATGGAAGTTTTATCACCAGGCTTGGTGATATTCCCGGCAACCTGGTGATCATATCGCAAAATGATCGATAGGACTCGGTTAGCACTTACAGCTAGACAACATGAAATCGGTTACTCCCTAGTGACTAATCAAGAGGTTTAAACCAGTCCTACAGGAGGTCAGTTGGAGCTCAAACAGCTCAGTGGTAACGTCTGACTCATTTCTACAACTGATGATATCACATAATTATTAAGTCACAGAGTGGTCACTCAATGAACAATTCAGTGGTAGAGAATATTTGTAGCTCAGGTGGATGCTCTTGGTTGCATTGTGTTCTTTTAGCTGGGTTGTTTAATCGTGGAGCTTACGTCGTTTTTCTAGACGACACCATCAGCAATAACTTCAGTATGAAGTGGGTTGTCAATATCTCACTGCCTCTGCAATCAATCTGGATATCGGTGATCCCATTGGAGTTCCTTTCATCTGTTTGAATATCTTGCCATTGAATTGGAAATATGTCGTCAGACAAAGGTTGATGAGTTCCATCAGACTTGAACATTTGAATTTTATGCGTTCTGAAAGGTTTCCGTCTTCAGTGAGCAAGAGGCATATAGATTCTTTGGCCAATTGGGGTTCGACAGATGTGCATAGTGCTGTGACATCGAAGTATACCATTAATTCGTCGTTTTCTACATTGATGTTTTTGACCTTTTCTAAGAATTTTGTTAGTGATTTGATGGAATGTCCGCATTATTAAACAAAATGTTTCATTTTTCTCGAAAGTTCTCTTGATATATTGTATGTTGGAGTTCCCGGAAGTGAGACTATTGGGATGTCTGGTTTGTATAGTTTTGGTCTGTCGTAGAACCGAAGAAGGACAGGTCCATTCGATTTCATTCGCTATCTGTCTTGCTTTGTTATTTCTTCGACTTTGAAGAGTTTATTCAAGGTTTTACTGAACTGGCTGTCGAAATTGTGGATAAGGTTGGTTTCAAATGGTTGATATACATTTTCATTTTTCAGTAAATCCTCTGAATTCTTGATGTAGTCTTCTTTGTTCATGACTAACGTCGTGTGTCCTTTGTCTGCTAGGAGTATAACGATATCTTTCCTATTTCTCAGTCTTTTTAGTGTTTTCTGTTCTTGAATGTTCGTTTGAACGTGATGTCTCTTCTGCCAGGTCAGTGGTACGATTGTTTGCCGTATTTCTCGTTGAGTGACCTCATTTAATCCTGATGTTTTAAGTGATAATTCTAGTGCAGCAAAGAATTCTGATTTCGAGGCATCTCTTGTGTTTTAATTCAATCCTTTCTGAAGAAGTTCTTCCATTTTTGTTAGTGGTTATTTTGATAAGTTGGTAACACAGCCAGTTAGTCAGGGCAAGCTACTAAACCACCCACGGAGAGATATTGACAACTCACTTTATACTGAAGTTATTGCTGATGATGTCGTCTAGAAAGACGATGAAAGCTTCACGATTAAACAAATCAGCTCAGAGAACATAGTACAACCAACAATTCAGTTCCTAGTACCGACCACATCATATCCACCACCATCTAATAAGGTATGTCACACAAAGTGACACGAAACTAGAGGTTTAAATACAAGAGAGTGATACCAAGATCCCAAATAAATCAAAATGATGAGCATCACAAAAAAATGGCGCATAGTTTAAGGGCTGATTAATGATTGTGTGGAAACTTTCATAGTCAAATCTACGATAGTATTAGCTTCGTCATTTCTACTGTAGATGTCTTGGATATGAGCTGAATGCGATACACAACAATACCTATTTCACAGAAAATAAGAAACCTACTTAGGTGGTTTGAATACATTGACTGGAAGGTCATCAGGTGCCTGAGTACGCATATCTTTACGCCTGAAATGAGGAGAAAATAGTGAAGTTTATAGGTTAGTGAGACAGTTGTAGTCAAAACAATGAGAGAAAAACGCATACAAATGTAATACAATACAGTGAAATTGTGACAGTGTATGCCAGTTTTTAATCTTTTCAAGTGTAAATTTATGACTGAATTTAAACTAAACAGTGTAATGGATGACATCGTAGAGTTCAAAGTGATGGGTTTTGTGTTTGACTTTAAGCAGTAATAATTTAATAATTCCCATTGTAACATTAAGAACAAGAACAAGAACATTAAGAACCGAAGATACATAAAGCGGGATTACCTCTTCGTCCGATCCTCGATATGGCTGGTTCTCCCTATCACCGAACTGCTCAATGGTTAGCTGAAATTCTGGAACCTGTTAGAAGGCAAGTATCGAGTTTTTCTATCCGTGATACATTTCAGTTTGTTGAGGGTATTAAGGATTTTAATGCTCTAAACAAGATGATGTTTTCATTAGACGTCACTTCATTGTTCACGAGTGTGCCACTCACCGAAACTGTCTGTTATGTATGTGACTATATTGATGCACATAATTTAGACGTAGGACTACCAACGAGCTGCTTGAAAGAGCTTTTGTTGAGGTGCACATTTAATGTCCAATTCAGTTTCAATAATGAAATCTATAGACAGAAAGATGGAATTGCGATGGGGTCACCATTGGGACCACTGCTAGCAGATTTCTTCATGTCGAAACTGGAAAATTCAAAACTTCGTCAAACTATTGATAGCTTTGACTTTTATAGAAGATATATGGACGACACGTTTGTTATTTGCGACAAAAATGTAGACCTCGACGACGTGCTTCGTTCATTCAATGAATGTCATCAAGCCCTCAAGTTTACTATAGAGAAGGAATCAGAATCAACTATTCCTTTTCTTGATGTGCTTCTCACCCGACGTCAGAATGGATACCTTAAAAGATCCATCTACAGAAAACCAACGTGGAACGGACAACTAACTAATTTTTATAGTTGGGTGCCCATCAACAGAAAAAGAAATCTTATTCACTCTCTTTGCTATCGAATAAGAAGTATCTGTAGTGACGATTGTATCGAGGAAGAGCTATCTTTCTTAAAAAGCATACTTGTCGAAAACGGTTACCCTAGCCGTTTTATTGATAAAAATATGCGGGAAAGAAACACTAAACCAGTCATCCACTCGGTCTCAAAGAAAAGATTGTTTATGAGCCTAGAGTTTAAAGGAGACCTAGCATCGGATGTACTGAAGAATCGTCTTACCAGATCAATCAATAGGACTTTCTTCGCAGCAAGACTCCAGTTGACTTTTACCAGCCGCAACCTATTCTCCACCTGCGTCAAAGACAAGCTTCCTCGTTTGGCCGCCTCTATGTGCATCTACCAGTTCACCTGCTCCTGTGGAGCAAGGTACATCGGCCGTAGCCAGAGAATGCTTTCTACACGTATACGAGAACATGTTCCTGCTTGGTTTTATAAAGGTGAAAGAAAGTCTGTTAGAAGTTCGATTCTAGAACATTTGATTGACTTCCATCACACAACAAATCCAGACGATGACTTTGAAATTATTTATCGAATTCGCCCAAACCTCCCACGTTCTCTTCGTTTTCAACTCCTTAAAACAGCGGAGGCTTTAGCTATTCATGAACTAAGACCTGATCTGTGTGTACAAAAGAAGTATGTGCAGTCACTGTCTTTATCATGGCCATAACATTTTCCCACCCCATTAGCTCCCCCTCCCACTTTGTTAATTTAACCTTTGTATCCTTCCTTTATCACTATTATTGTTATTATAATCGCCTTCACTTCAACTAGTTTCCGGTGTTGTTTCACTTAATTGTCTTAATCCTTTTAGAAAACATTGACTTCATCTTGTCCAATTTGTCTAATGCCATTACATAATACTTAATTGATTTACCATTTTCAACAATTTTTTCACCCCCTTCTGAGTTATATACTCTCTATGTACCATTCCATATATTACATAATCTATTTGTTATCATTCGCACTTCAATTGTTATTATAATCATAAATGCCTATGTCATCACCCGCTCTATTATTATTGTCATCACCATATAGTGTTTAGTTTTCCTCACAGGATATAATTTTTTCCAAATACCATATATATACGATTGTACAGCTTGAAAATAAATTCGTTTTAGCAGTAAATCAACAATTATTGGGATGTAAATATGAAGCTGTGGGACTTTAGTCTATGAAGTCAATATCGAACTAGCAGGTCATGGGTTTCAACACTACTCCAACTCCTGAGGTTTCGGCAGCGATGTAGTGTCATCAGCTGTCGTACAATAAGTATGGCTCAGTCGGTAAGTTTTAAATAGATTGAAGCATAGGTCTAGCAATCCACTTCTGGCAACTAGTGAATATAATGAAACCACGACTTAGCATTTTGGACATGTACTTTGAGAACCAGTTTTTAGGTAATATGTACACACGGATAAGTTCATTCTTACAAATGATTCGCTTGAGATTATATTTTATGTGCAGTGATAATCAACCTTTAGAATACATTTCATATTTGAAGGAAGAAACGTATAAAGTATTATAATAGTATGCACAAAACAACATTTAGTTTTTTCAAATTCCCAGAACTGAACCGATGATAGTTCCGATTCTAAATTTAACTTAGTGGCTCAGAGGATTTTATACATAAATACAAGTACATAGGATCAATAAGAGAACATCTGAAAAACAAATCATGAAGTACAAATAGTAGGAAACTTTTCAAAATGTATCATGCAAAACTCCAAAAATAGTAGCAAAAAGACAAAAAGTAACACCATTGTATTTACTGATCTGAGACTGTTAATAGTGTTCTGAATGAACGACTGAAATGTTCTTTGAAAAAACCCAGCTATGTTAGAGCCTTCTTTGAAAACTAATAATAAAAGTTTTCAGTTCAATTGAATATCTACTACTCAGTGGACCTTATAAATACCAGTCTGTATGAGAATGTTCGAAAGTAGAAAGATTAATCAACCCAGATACCGATTGTTGAAAAGTTCAACAAAGCATCCCGAAATAAAAGGGTGGATCACCTTACAGTTCAAGCTATAGTTTAATGATCTAGGCACGTGGTTGGCACACTCTCAACGAATTTTGGTTAACACGATCACAGGTTATCGGTTTTCCTTGCGAATTAAATATGAAGCGTAGTTTACTACATTCGAACTGTAAAAGAATATTCAATGTTTAGCATTCGAAAAATGTTATTTTCAATGAAAATTAAACATGTGTAAACACGGAACAACGCAGGCCAGACAATAAAAAACCTGTTCCTATAATACTATGTTCTCTCCTGATAAAAAATTATCCAAGATGGAATTTATTAGAATCACCGATACCTTGCTTAGTTTGCGATTCATTTTTGACTAGGATATCCGAAATGCATCTGGTCTAATAAAGATGAAGTCGAACAATATCACTTGAAAAAATTCTTGTCAGTGATTTTCTAATCATTTCTATTTATGCTAAGTAGTTACAGCTATTCAGAACGTATGCAATAGCATAAATCTTGGTCTGCTAATAATGGTCATCAGAATGAAAGCATAGAAACACTGAAGCGAAATCAAGTGAGACTAATACAGTTTCCCATTAACATTGAGTAAAACAGGAAAATATGATACAAATATACTGATGATAATCACCAAGATATTCATAAATAACAGGATGGTAATGCAAAACAACATAGATACTAGCACAATAGTATATGTACTCAGGTAGTCACGTATCATATAAGTAAAAAAAAGAATTGAAATTAACCAGGGAATAAAGGAGTCAGATAGTAGTATCTCTTCAAGAAATGGGTTGCAGATACACCTTAGATTGAAAAAAGTAGAATAATTCTTGCTAAATTCTTGACTAATGAGTTAGATTTTTGCTGATGATCTTCAGTGAAATCGTACTTCTTGATAATTAAGGAAAACCGTTTCAGAGTGGAACGATAAATTCATAGTTTCCCTTTGTCAAAAGAATTATTCCAAGATGTTGAAATGAAAAAGTCACTTAAGAAAAACATAAAACCTAACCTTATGGTACAACTTGTCATACCATGATATTTACGAAAACGAGGAATTCATTGCCACATATCCAAAAATTACCGAGAAAACAAACGCTCAGTAATGCAGCTAAGCTGACTTAGTCTCCAAATAATTTATGGATGCACAAAAACTCCACATATAACCAAGACCTCAATATCCCTTAGTATTTATGACATTTACATGATATATCACTCGATGTATATGTATATATATATATATATATATATATATATATATATATATATATATATATATATATATATATTCTACAATGAATCGTTTATTGGACAGACTTTCGGTTCTTACAGCTACATTTACGGAAACAAGTTAGAATTGTCCAGAACACTTTCAGGGTACAACCCTATGGAGGAGTTCTGGCTCTTTGGTCTAGGCAGTTGAATTCCAACCAGTGAGTCACGGGTCTGAACACCACTCCACCTACTGAGGTGTAGACAGCCAGTATCACTAGCCCCCACACAATAGATATGGCTTATTGCGCACTGCACAGATGTGCATCAGGTTGCTGAGTGGATTTCGATTCGTTTTGAAAACCCAAAGATACAAATAACAAAGTATCATTAAAACTTAGACTATTAAGTTTTGTTGATACATAATTCTTGGTATATAATATAAATAAGTGAACTATTTCGATATCAGAATTTAATTAATATTTTAATGAGGACTCGGTAAGAACAGTCAAGAATATAAATCAAGTGAGTACGAAAGCACAGTCTACTGAATTGTGATTTATAAGTAGCGCCTGTTTTAATAAAATTCAGTTTTTCTGGTATCATGGCATCAGTAATATTTTAAACACCCTTGAAACATTTTTTGTTTAAAATAAATCTGTAAGATTAAACATGATGCTAAACTCCAACACTACTGTAATTATAAAATAAGATGAAATCTTGATTACTATCTTGAATCAATGTTAAA